CGTACTGGAACTGCGACTGGACAATAGACGCGATGGAGTGCAGTTGATGCCGATGGATCCTATCTAAGCCAGTCCTGCAATGGAGTAGACTAAGGTTTAACGGTTTCAACAGGGATCGGATATGACAACAAATGCAGTATAGCGACCGAGGAAGAGAAGTTGGAACCTTGGAAATAATGGTGATCAATGATCGAACAGGGGAGTTTGAGGGGTTTTAAGATCTTCGGCTCTGACAGCCGACAGACAGTAGGGCCAGAAGTGCTCCAAATCCGAGTGATTGCAGCCTACTGATCTGCTTGTGATCAGCCTCGGGAGTAGACATCAATTCAAAGAGACAGAAACAAGGTAGGGACCGCTCACTTGCAGTCCAGATAGTGTCTCGTCATACATCCGTTTGTCTAGAACAACAATGGGGCAAGCAAAATCAGCCAAGCATATTCATTCAGATCTCTACTGTGGATGCTCCCTTAGTCAGGGGCCTGGCCAGATCGCTGCCTTAGGTACGGAGTAGACAGCCTCAATTGTCCTTTCCATACAAGGTCAGCATTGCGACACATGCACCCTTGTCACAGCCCCAATTTGTCACAACTATTACCGACCTTCATATGTGGTGCTCGCCATTATTCTACCCAGGGTCATCTGTTCCGAATCCTCTGCATATACCATTTTCGGCCACAGTCTCGACAGTCCAGCGGCAAACTTGTCATTCCAGCCAGCGTGCCGTCAGCCATTGCTTGGGGGCATGCGGATCATCCGCTACAATGGGCTTGTCAACCTGTAGGATTTCACTAGGTCACTTCAACTACCGAGCCGAGCAGATGCCGACAGGTGATTACGAGGCTGTTGAGTTTTCTCTGGCCCTGAAACCGTCGTTGCTTCCTGCAAACTCACCACAGGCGCATTTTAATCAGTTATTAATATCATGCCGGGGACTGACGTACAGGTGACCAGGGGCGAAGATGCCTTTTGCTGCTGCTGGTGATGGCGATGGCGTGGCGATATCTCACAAGGATTGCTTTTTCCGTATGCATCGCTTCAGTCATCAATCAGGATCGCGCTACCATCTGTGTGAATGGCGCGATGCCGTAGTAAAGAAAGGCGAAGGAAGATATATCAAGCTATATTGAACGAGCTGTATCATGTATCCCGTCCATGTGCACACACGAGGACAGTATCTGATAGTCGACTCCAGCCATTATGATAGCAACTCAATACATCACACTTCATGGTTTCATGGAGGAACTAAGCAGCAAATAGAGGGGCCGTGTTGCGATTAGATCAACCTCTCCAGTCTCTTCCGAGATTACTCCGTTGCGGAGAGTGATGGAGCCTGGAAGGCAATGCGGGTTGACTTGTCATTGAAACAACAGAGCAGCACTGAACCCCTACTTACCCTATTAGAAATGCGCTACGAGGACTCAAGGAGGATAAGAGACACTACTGACCAATCAGCAATAAGTCTCAGGCAGCTTCGGAGGATCAAAGTCATACAAACTGCTATTTAAATAACAAGCATGAGTGAATATCCGCGGGAGACCATCCATATAATTAATTACGAACTGACAAGTGGATTGCAAGAAAGTACCTTGAGGGAAAGTAGGAGTCCACTTAGTCAGGCTACTTGCCTCGTAGTCCAGTAGTGATGAAATCCCGAGAGTAGTGAGCAGTAATGTAAAGGGAATAGCGCCTATTTCGGATCTTCTACTTGTCTATTATGCACCGGAGTCAATCTCTATTTCTAGATCCGATGGATCCTTCACATCCGAGCCTTAGACCATAGTGGACATTGCCAAGGGTTTTCCATTCTGGGCATTTCGCTGATTTCGTACAGTCAGCCAGATACTGATATGGTGCAGGGAAGTCAAGATGAAGGGTATCTTTGTCTCTATTGACCTGCAGTACTTCCAGGTGGATACCAGCTGCTTAGAATAATGAAAGAGTTTATCAATTTCAGCCGATGGTATCTATTTGCATTTCGCAGAGACTAGGTAGTTTAGTCCACACGCTATTTCGCTTTGGCGTGTGGTAAGCGTGATTTGCGATTGCAGATCCTGCTTGGCCGAGACATCAGTTCCATATTAGACGAGTCATAAAACTACGGAGTTGGAGGCATTTCCTCGAGTCACTTCACCACATTCGTTGAGACATCGTCATGAAGAATTATGTTACATCCGCGCCAACAACCAGAAAAAGATCGCTGCCCAATGGAATGACAGGTCAACGGTCACAACTGTTTGATGGAACCCTTCCCGCCATCAGATGGACGTGCTGAAGGCCAATCTCACCCACATGTCGGAGAAAGGACATGAGGGAGAGAAGAGGAAAGCGGAGTGAGAACAAGAGCAATTGCTGTCTTGACTGCCTAAAGTTATAATCTACGCAATCAAGGCTCATAGCATCTCATGCCTGATGAGCAGATAGTAGACTGTGGTGATGCAATGATTATGAAAGATGGACGAGGAAACAGAAACGGAGGAAAAGGCCACAGGAGGAAAATGGAAAGCGTGGGGTTGATCTGAAGTAGATCGTCGTCTGTCATTCATCTCACTCTTTGTACTCGAGAAAACTTGCCATAAATTGCCTCGTACTATATAGCGGTGAACTGGCAAGAGTCGATGATGCAGAGACAAAGAAAATCTGCCAGGAACGGATTCATATGCACATACTAGTAGTCTGGAAGAAGGAAGGAGTACTTATGTACACTACGAAAAGGGACACTGTGAGGTGATTATACGTCTCGCAAGCCTTTCAAGTATCTATGTTTTACGTACAGACATTGATCACGGGCAAAAACCAATGAAGTGATGCCTGTAAAGAACTCATCGTTCTTTTGTGTAAGAAGCAGAGCATTATGGAGAACATACCAAAGTGTGGTCCAAGCAAACCTTCCTTATCACACAAGAAATAATAATAGCAAGCCATGCAAGATGGTCTGTACCTTTCCTTGCTTAAACCTAAAAAGAAGATTCAAGCTGCGAGTAAGTCAAGATCTGGGGTCTTCTCAAGAATAATTACAGAGTTATGGGTAGCTGGATCATGGTTGGACAGCAGATACCTTTCTACTTTAGAAAGAGATCTTGCCCTAGGATATGTATGTACTCCGTACCTTAGTCTCAAGATAGTGTCAGATGCATATTTGCCTCGTTTTATCTCTAGATATTCTTTCTTCTACGGCCCAGCCCCATCTTCGCTTTCCCGTTTAGGCATTACGACAACTGCGCCAAGCACTCAAGAAGGTTTAGTTTCTGGATGAGAAAGCTATAATGGACAACACGTGCCTAGAGGCATGAAGTTGATATCGCCATCATCAGTACTCTACAGAGCAAAGCAGTCATCGTCTACTGGCAGGAAAAGTGACCATGGGCATGGTCATTGTCCGAGATTAGCTATCGCATCTTTATGACTATCCGTTCGTTACCTGGCCATGAATCGTTACCAAGAGTCGTGCACCTCAGGTAATCGGACTTCTGAAGGCAGAAGCTGGTATCTTTGTAAGCACTCACTGAAATCATGACGAAAGGCGAAAATGAGAAAAAAGAAATGAGAACCTCGAGGCGAAGCCAGACTCCGGAGAGGGACCGACCTTGACGTGAACGATGCATTGGAAGTTTGGAACTATTGACGAGACTAAGACCAAGCAGCCCAATGAGATCGGTATGCTAGACCGGGAACGGATAAAAGAGAAAAAGCAACGGAAATGAAAAGTAGATAGGTACTAATCTGGAGGTGGATGTCTGCAAGGCTACTTTCCAATAATCAATCGTTTATCGTACATACGGTACCGAGTCTTTGTCATGGATATGCTGGACCAACCGATAGTGGACAGGAGACACTTAGATCCATATCTGTTCATGAGTCCATGATTCTCGTGGACCTCATTATCCCCAAGGTCAAAAAAATGGATAAATACAAATAAAGATCCGGCCAAAACCGAAATGAAGAGAGAGAGAACCTTAGCAGATAACGAGGTCTGGTTAACTATAGAGAGGGAGGTACATTACTTACCTCTTCGGCCGAATTGAGTGTTTTATCATATGGATGCTTAATTCCGAAGCGAAGAGGGGCACTTTAATGGAAGTATACCTGCCCAGGTATCTACGGTAGATTTTACATACATACAGTTACAAGTCATTGACTTTACAGGGAGTCACGATGGCGAATTGGAGAAGTTCACCCAGGAAAATAACACTCCATCCAACCCAATCAAAACGGCACTTTCTGCTCGACCCAAGGATCGACACTCAAGCCTTCCCTGACCTTTGGAGACATGCACCTAGCACCATGGTAATAGGTACAGTATTTCCTAGGTAGATAGATGAATCAATTAATTCGATCAATTGCGTTATCACTCTATCACCGTACCGATCTACCTATCTACTCCCGTCGTTAACTAGCTCCAACTCCACTCCAAGCCTCCGAAAAGTACCTCAGTCACGGGGGAAGACGAGGCGAGTGCCTGACTGACATGACCCGAGACAATGGACTGCAGCAATTCCTAGTCCCTAACGCTAAACCGGAATCCACTGCGCGATTCAATCTGCCAATCATGATTTTATGCTTGATGTGTGCACCTTGGAGTCCTCGGGGAGTGGACATCGACTAGTATCATAGGCCATCCAGATGATCGCCGAGTGGCATTGGGCCGGCACGAGTGCCCTTGTCACTCCGCAGGGCCGTCGATCCTTTCTCGACTCCGGCCCCCATAGTACGGTATACGTATCTAGTACCTATCTGATTCTACCTTATAGTTGCATTATTACATATAGATTCCCCGGTCTCGCACAGGGCAAGTTCTTTTTCTTTAATATTTCTTCACGTTCCTTTTTTTTTTGTTCGACGATCGATACTTCCACCTACACTTGCGGTACTTTGCATACTTCCATCCTGAGTGATCTGTGTGTACTTGTTTACCTCCTTCTACTACCCTATCTTACACCACACATCATTATTGCTTGACATCGTCCAACTCTTGTCTGCCTCTTTCTTTGCGCTTCAGAGAGATGAAGACTTCGATTCCGTCAGACGTATGGGAGAAGAAGAAAGCCTTGATTGCCAAGCTGTACAAAGAGGAAGAATGGCCTCTCAAACAAGTCATCAAGAAGATCCGCTCAGACAACTTCAACCCAAGGTGAGATAAGTGCGGGAAGTACAAGCACTATCCCATGTGCTAATTGATGTCCCGTATAGCGAAACTCAGCTTCGGAGCAGACTGAAGAAGTGGCGCGTCACAAAGCCATCTCGGCAAACACGGAAGAAGTCTCCCGATGGCCAGCTCAAAACCACCGACGGCGACAGTGGAATCGATGGAGCATCTCCAAAGACACAGACATCATCTGTCTCTCCCAGGACTCCATTGCATGCTAACCAGCAGCCCGCTGTGAGAGCCTTTCCAGCTACAGAGCCTGAGTGGTATATGAGCCACGGGGTATACGCGCCATCACAGGGAGCTTCAGGTCCAATTTTCGTCGATGATCAGACTATGTCCACTACCTGGCCTCTACTGGCTGGCCAACAACCATCACCAAGCCCGTCGGATCATCATACCTCTCACAATGGCTCTCCCGTAGCTATGTCAGGCTCCAATGCTTTCCATCAGCGCCACATCTCGCCGGGGATGGACACAGTATTTGTCAACGCGACATCCACAATGACGCATGCTTTTAGCGGCACCCCATTTTCCGTCACCACTGAATCTTGCATGCCGGAGCAAGTGTCTACAACGGCGGCAACAGCACCTATTCAGTGGACCGTCCCTCATTGGTACCCACTGCCTCCGGGAGCCATTTCTCAACCTCCGCCAGTTCACTTTTATCCTCCTGCTCCTCCAAGCCCTCCGTCGACGAGTCCCGTGGACCCTGCAATGCAAGCACCGCACTCACAGGTTGACTTCTCCGTATATTCGCCCAACTATTCTGGCCCTTCTCAACATCAGGTGTCCGAAAACTTCGACGGAGTCAAGTCATGGAAACGGGTTATGTCGCTTCAATATACGCCTGACACAACGGCGCTTAATTCAGGAGCCGAACGACCTGAGGTTGCAAATTATGCTGACAGGAAGGCGTCGCTACCCTCAAAGATGTCAAGCCATCATTCCAATGGACTCATGACTCCGCCGTCACAATTCTTCCCTCATGAGCAAAACCCTATGATGTGTGGACCAATGTATTCCTACCCTGGCCCAGATCCTCTTCTACACAGGCCACCGAGCATTGAGTTCTAGAATCAAGGCCGAGGCACTTGATCTCATCTCCAATTGGGACCTTGATTTCTGTAATCCTTCCTCCCCTTCTTCTTTCAATAACCCCTCACTTTGTATCTGCGCATGCCGGTCATGCTAATTGAATACTTCTTCTTCTACTATTTCTTTTCGTCCTTCCATTCTGATCTTGTCTTTGTCACTCTAATGGGTCCGTCTCAACAAGTCGCAGCAATCGGTCTATATACCAAACTTTAGGGTGCTGTATTTTCTTGGAGTGATTGTCAAATCTGGAGCAAAGGGGGTGTTATGGCTTTATATCTGATGTCTTTACGGGCGTATTATGTATTGCACGAAAGTGAATGTACTGAACAAATTATGTACGGGGTGGCAAGTTTTTGATTATTCCAGAGACAATAATAGGTCAAAGCTGGTCTCTTTCACACCCCTTTTGGATACTCTCCTATATTTTGTGCAACTCACCGAGGAGTTGAGACTGCAATGATAAGCAGCCACATCGGTTAACATTATTTCTTTTTCCATAGAGACTTTAAATTTATTGTCGGAAGAGATTGATGTCCTTATGTGGGCAACCTGTGCAGAGAAAAAGCCCAGCAGCAAATATGCAGATCTACTCGGTCAGTTATCCGAAACTGACCTCGGCTCGTCCGCAATCGCGGGGAAATCTGCGCCGTCCACGGCTTCTAGCTTGCAGCATGCACTTTCTGTGCATCTGCTCTCTTAAGGCCCTTTTCCACTGAGTCTATCGAGTAATATATAGAAGAGTATATCATCCACCTACCTCTTCTTAAATCTTGGACGTTTTACGCGGAAGTGTTTGCGATTGATTGACTTTCCCCGTTGATCAACATGAGGGCGATTCAGGTCAAAGAGTACGTCAAAGTACGTTGAGATCCGCTTCGATCACCATCCTTTATTGAAGACTTCCTCTAACGGCAAGTGTCAACTAGGGTCCTCTCGACCTCCGGGTCACCGAGTTGCCTACCCCATCCCCTTCACCAGACAAGTACTTGATCGAGGTCCACTCGGCAGGAACCAATTTCTTCGACCTGCTACAGATCCAGGGGAAATACCAGCACCAGCCGCCCCTTCCCTGGATCGGAGGCGCCGAGTTCGCCGGCACGATCCTCGCTGTGCCAACCAGCCAGAAGAAGACCCAATTCAAGGTCGGGGACCGGGTGTTTGGCGCGACGCAGGGCGCCTACGCCACGCACGCACTCGCGCCTGAGGCGTCGCTGCTCCCCGTCCCCGCTGGCTGGAGCTTCGAGGATGCCGCCGGCTTGTTTGTGACTGCGCCGACCTCGTACGGCGGTCTGGTGCATCGGGCCAATGTCCAGCCGGGTGACTGGGTCCTTGTGCATGCGGCGGCGGGTGGAGTCGGGCTGGCCGCGGTGCAGATTGCCAAGGCTAAGGGGGCGACTGTGATTGCGACTGCGGGGACGGAGCGCAAGAGACAGGTCGCGCAGGAGTTTGGAGCGGACTATGTGATTGATTACCGCAATCAGAAGTGGCCTGAGGAGGTGAAGAAGTTGTGTGCGCAGCACCGCACAGGGAATGGGAAGGCCGGTGTGGACATTGTGTATGATCCGGTTGGCATGATCGATGCCAGTCTCAAGTGCGTGGCCTGGAATGCGCGGTTGCTGGTGATTGGGTTTGCGGCCGGGAAGATCGAGAAGGTCGCGCTGAACCGGGTGCTGCTGAAGAACGTCAGTCTTGTCGGGTTGCACTGGGGCCAGTACGCCAAGTTTGAGAAGGAGACGGTAGGCGTCGTCTGGAAGGGAATCTTCGATCTGGTGGCCCAAGGCAAGTTCAGAGGGACAGCCTTCACAGACGAAAGCTTTGTGGGATTGGAGAGTGTGCCCAGAGCCTTGCAGGCTCTCGGAAGCAGAGAAACCTGGGGTAAAGTAGTGGTGAAGGTCATTGATGATGAGGCGAAGAGTAAGCTGTGACCTGTACCACTGTTTAATTCTTTTATTCTTCTCTCTACTTGCAACAATCCGAAACAACACTAGACATACACGACATGCCTGCCCTTATGTGTTATATCTCTATCAACTAGTACGACTATGCTCGGTAATTGTAGATGTAGGTGCGCAAGGAGTCATGCTCTCGTAGAATGTAGAAAACGCGAGCAAACATGAACTATGAAGGCCCTGTAACTTCCTCTTGCAACTTTCAGATTATTTAACTCGAAACGAGCTCTTACAAACCAGCTCCAGTCGGTCACAGTCACAAGACGTGACGTGTGGTGACTGTCCTTCGAGAGAAGGGTCCGTGAGAGCACGTCAAACGCCCTATCCAGGTCCTTGCGGATGGACAGAGAAGGGAGACTCGGACAGCTGGATTGTAAAGTTGCGCCGGTATGAAATTGAGTAGACTTGAGGGGTGCACAAATCGCCAAGGATCAAACAGTCTATATCATGATGTTTCGTGACTGCTGCTGGCTGATAAAACGCAGGTTGGTTATGATTCCTCTGCCAGTTTCGTAGTGAGAGAATATTTAGAATCATTTGAATCGTATCCAGGAATGTCATAGAATAAAACAGCTGACTTCATTCTCAGCGATCGATTCTAGGAAATTGAGCAAGATAATCGCATGAGCTGAACAGTTGATCAGGATTGACTCAGTCCGCAGTTTGCTGCGAAAGGGAGGGAAAATCTTGCGGACGAGTCTCTCGCTTAGAGTCAGCTTAGTCAGATGTTTTGATCTGCAATTTTATCATCACATGCCTATAGTTAATAATCAGAGATAAGATAAGCATCAGTATGATGTATGATGTATGATGTATGATGTACTAGGACTCTAGGAGTAACAAATAATAACGAGGAGCTGGAAGATGTTGGAGAAGTTCATCTCATTGTACTATCTGAATTCTCTCCTTAAATACTAGAAGCGGAAGGGGATTTCCAGTCAACTGTTGGAAAAAGGCTTTTAAGGCACAGCTGACTTGATACTGATGCTTTACGTCACTGCATGGTAACAACATGAGTTATGGTTCAAATGCTTCAATAAATCTTGTCAGATTGTTTGCACTTGAGGAAGTCCGAGTCAAGATATATAGCTGGGGCGTTTAGATACTGAAGGCATGCCTTATGTTTTGAACTGTAGGTACGATAGCATGATTCTTGTCGAGGCCGAATACATCCACCCATACGTCATGCCACTATTATTCCAGTTTGTGACCCCACCAGAAAGTTATCGCAAGCATTATAAACAAGTGCTTAATTTAGCGATAACAAGTGTCTGATAGTATTTCCGCTATAAGTCTAATTTTGAATCTGGATGACACCTAATTACTTACGTCGATCCTTTGTTGCTATGATCAGCCTCCATCTGAACCCTCCTATTCAGTCTAAGCATAGTCCGTGTATACGATCAATTGCACGCAGAATGTCGACGTCCACAAAGTCTTCCAAGTTCAATCATTTGCCCCGAGCAGCTTCGGGACCGCTGGAATGTCCGTATGAGGTGAGGAAGAGCCAAATCTCCACTATGCAAAGTGGTCAATGGATGGCATACTGATGTAGCCCGTCCAGGGGATGAGTGTCATACATAATCCCACCTTCAATAAGGGCTCTGCCTTTACTGAAGAGGAGCGAAAGAATTTCAAGCTGCACGGCTTAGTGCCCCCGAATACGCAGACGCTTGAGGAACAAGTCCACCGTGCATATGAACAGTATAGTAGCCGAGCGGATGACCTAGCAAAGAACACTTTTATGGCTAGCATGAAGATGCAAAATGAAGTCTTGTATTTCAAAGTAAGTACAATTATTTATAATTAAAGGGGAAAGCAGAGATTCGCGAAACATTCTTTCCTACGTCCACGGTTGATAATTGAGCTCGAAAATCTCCTCGGCGACTAATTCTCTCTCAGTTGCTACAAACTCATCTGAAAGAGATGTTCAGCGTCATCTACACTCCAACCGAAGGAGACGCCATTCAAAACTACTCGCGTTTGTTCAGGAGGCCGGAAGGCTGCTTCCTAAATATCAATGACCAGGACGCGATTGAAGAGTGCTTGTCCAATTTCGGTCGCGGTGAGGATGTTGATTACATCGTCGTCAGCGACGGCGAAGAGGTACCGGACTTTTTCATTCTCACTGCTACTTCATGCACGAGTCTGACAGGGTCAACTACAGATTCTCGGAATTGGCGACCAAGGTGTTGGTGCTATCCTGATATCCGTCGCCAAGTTGGTAATCACAACTATTTGCGCGGGAATCCACCCAAGCCGGCAGCTTCCAGTAGTTCTGGACTGCGGTACAGATGTAGGGCTCCCAGGCGTCAACAGGAGCTTTGTGTGCTAACACCGGTTGCAGAATCAAAAATTGCTTGACGATGAGCTTTACCTCGGCCTTCGACAACCCCGAGCTAGAGGAAAGGAGTATGATCAATTTGTGAATAAATTCGTCAACACTGCTAGAAAGCTTTTCCCCAAAGCATACATCCACTTGTGAGTATAAATGAGTCTCGTCTTTACTAGCAATTTGAATCGCAAGCCAAGCGACTGACGTCCCTTCGCAGTGAAGACTTTGGCCTTCATAATGCCAAAAGACTTCTCGATGAATTTCGACCACATATGGCCTGCTTCAACGATGATATCCAAGGAACCGGGTGTGTCACCCTGGCAGCATTAATGGCCGCTTTGCACGTCAGTGATGTCAAATTGCAGGACGTGCGCATCGTCATCTTTGGTTCCGGTTCTGCTGGGACTGGTATTGCACAGCAAATTGCTGATACAATTGTGACGGAGACCCATAAATCAAAGGACGAAGCAGCAAAGCAAATCTGGTAAGCCTTGCGGGAAATTGATGCTTTGCCCCTTTGCAACTTGCTGAACCTTTTCCAGGTGTTTGGACAAGCCAGGATTGCTAGTAAAGTCCTTAGGTGACCAATTGACGCCGGCACAAAAACCTTTTGCGCGCAGCGATAATGAGTGGTCTGACGGGGAGAGAGATCTGCTATCTGTAGTGAAAAGAGTCAAACCCCATGCGCTGATTGGGACATCGACAAAGCCAAACGCTTTCACAGAACAGATAATCCGAGAAATGGCCAAGCATGTCCACAGTCCAATCGTATTTCCATTGAGTAATCCTACTCGGCTGCATGAGGCACAGCCCAAGGATCTCAACGAGTGGACGGATGGTCGAGCATTGATAGCGACTGGGAGTCCCTTCCCACCAGTTGATCGCAACGGGGCAAAGTATGAGATTGGTAAGTACAGATTGTCAAAAGTTTTGCAGGACATGACATGACTCAATGGAAAACCCTACAGCGGAGTGCAATAATTCAACCTGTTTCCCCGGAATTGGCCTTGGAGCCGTCTTGTCTCGGGCACGCGTCCTGTCAGACAAGATGCTGGTCGCTGCGGCCAAAGCGCTAGCAGCTCGATCACCTGCGCTTCAAGATCCCAACAAGCCTCTCCTACCCGATGTGGAGGAGGTCAGGGAAATCAGTGTCGATATTGCCAAGGCGGTGATTAAGACAGCAGTGGCAGAAGAGCATGCCCAGGAAGAAGGGATTCCCACGGACGATGACGACCTGGAGGAGTGGATTCGTGTACAGATGTGGGACCCTGTCTACCGTCCTCTCTCAAAGCCGAAGCAGGAGTGAAATCTGCAGCGCAGAATCGAAGATCCGGGCCTTGAATCTTACTGCAGAATAGCTAGATCATTTGAGTAAAGAAGCCCACTGTTCGCTTCAGCCGAGGCGAGCGACAGTAATCAAACTCCAGATAGATTGCTCTATTTTCGTGGTCTCATTTGAATGTACAGTCTATCACATTGAACAAGCATAAAATAACCTGCAAACGTTGCTGTTCCCAATCATCCTTTGTCAACACTGTCAAAGCTGCCAAACACTGGCTATGTTCGGACTGGAGAAAGCCTTGTGGAAGCCTGACAAGTCGTGCTCCAGATACCACTTCAATGGGCAGATTTATCCGCTCCAATAGCCATTGATTCTCTCAATCGCAGGTTTTGGGTGAGCAACATGGCTTAAACTATGGAGGCTGAGGCTCATAGAGGGCTGGCTGCTGCGCCTCCTCGTAGGCAAGAAATCCTACAGGACAATGAGTCTCTATCGTACCACACGTGGATTTGGAAGAGGCAAAATGTGATTTCATGGATAATCAGATAATCCCAATTGATCGGATCTCTGGTTCTTAGCCGAGGAAGTTTATGGATGATGGATGGGTGATGAAATGATGGTTCTATGATCTTTCTGGAAATAGAAGCTGTACGGCTGGACGGCCCTTGGCATCGCAGATTGTAACCGTGTTAGTCAATAGTACGGAGTAGAGAACTAATAGACGTTGGGGCTCAGGCTTTCCCGAGATCAAATCATCAAAGGACAAAGGGAGCATCGCCGCTTTGCCGGGCAAGTTGGCAGATGATGATGAAAGGTTACCAAGAAATCCAAGAAATCCTTAATAATTAAGCCGTCCGTTATCGAAGGTTACATCAGTGGGTTTCCTGTCATGACTTTCTTGTCTTAGGAAAGAACTGCCTCATTCCTGGCAATGTTTCTATTCTTTTCTTGTCACTTTATCTCGACCAACACCAAATTCCACCTCCATCAATACTGTGTTACGCACTCTTACCCTCCATATTGAGACTATAGCAAAGTCTATTTGCGCGTCTAAAACAGTTCTTCCCCTGAAAGAAAAAAACAAGATTACAAGATGAGAATCGCCTACACAGCGGTTCTCCTTTTTCTTTTGTCGTCCACCAGTGTCACCTCCTACAGTATTCCGCAGTCGGATCTGGTCGCTCGTGATGTAGTCGCTGTCGATTCATCTCGAGCCCCAGATCTCGAGAAACGTCGAGGAGGAGGAGGCGGTGGACGAGGTGGCGGAAGCGGAGGATCCAGTGGGGGACGCAGTGGAAGCGGCGGAAGCGGTAGTTCATCGAGGTGAGCGGTTGTCAAGCTGCCTGTTATCTTCATAGACATCGAGGCTAACATTCGTTCTGCACGAAGTTCCGGGGGGCGTACAGGAGGCTCATCTCGCCCTGGTTCCACCTCTAGTAGCAGTCGCATTGGTGGTGCCTACTACGCTGGCGGTGCCACATCTGCATACAGGGCCGGCACGCGATCCCCTCTGGGAGTCACTCCTTTCCTTTTGCCAGTCGCTGCACTGGCCTTCTTCCCTGGTATCTGGCTCTACGGAGCCTATGCATACCCGTACAGTCATCGTTACAACTATACAAATGAAACTTCCCGCCAAAACGAGTCATTGCCGGTAGTCTGCTTGTGTCAAGAATACTCGGATTGCGGCTGTGACGATAGCAATAACAGCACCTATTATCAATCGCTGTTCAATGGCACTCAACCTGCGAACTCAAGTATCGCCAAGGTTGTCAACGCCAACGGAACCGAGACCATCTACATCAATGGAACTGTGCCGAATGCGACGGACTCTACGAGCTCGTCCACCTCCTCAGCTCCCGCTACAGCGCTCCTTGAGGCCAGCGGGTACTGGGTTATGGTCGCTCTGATGGCTAGTATGGTTTGGGCGCTATGATGGAGGTTCTCGCGATGGAATCGTTCCCAACCTTGTGCCTTCTGAGCGATGAGCCACTCGCTCGCTATGCTCCCATCGTGATATCCCTTGTCGTTTTGCTGTTTCTGAATTTGCCACTTTGGTTCTTGCTATATTTCGCTTCAGCCAAATCTGTTCCATGAGCTCTCTGTCTCAGCCTTTGCTGGACTTTGCTGCGGGAATATTGTCGAGTTCGCTTTGACTGGTGGTCTTCTGCTTTGAATGGCACGAGAACCCTGATACCCTTATTCGGCGTTGGAAAGTGAAATCCTTGATGCTTGTTTACTCACTTCGCTGGTCATGATTACGATACCACTTCCTATTGATTATTCTCGAGAACCTTATTGTACGATAGATCGCTATGAGTTGCTCGCTTCTAATACGCGTTATTATGATTATGAATCGCATGGCTCACGCTCGGAGTTCTGAGCTCCAAGGTCGGTGGTTTCCATAGATGATTGAGGTCTTTTCAGGTCTTTTGAGCTCTGATCAATATTCTAATTACCAATCTTTTTGCGCATTCGCTAAAGATGAACCCTTTGCAGTCTATCTATCACTTGGTTTCCTCCGACTTCCTCTCCTCTGTAGATTCTCACTTCCCCTGAAACCGACTAGGTATTCACCACGAAGAACCGAACTATTCTGCAGTCTGACTTCACTCGACTTCCTCGGGCCGTGAGCGGGCACTGGGGCACTGACTCGCTTCCCCACGAGACTGCTACCCCTTATGGTACTCCATCTTCTCCCCGCTGCTGCGCGATTGAAACTGGTGGATGCCTGTAGAATGACAAGCCTTGGACTCCTCTTTCAAGCAGGAATCGTCATTGCTCATTACTTTAATCACGTCAATTTCGACCCACTAATGTTGTCAATGGCCTCTTGACATCTTCCGGACAGCCGCAATTCGCGTTCTTCAGTCCTCATCGTCTCTTTTGGGTAGGCGCAAAGTCCACACTGCGCTATCGCATTAGCCTCCCCTCGGGATAACATGATCGACACGTTTCCCATGGAATCCTGGACTATCTCACGGCTAGCACTGCAAATGACTACGAACCGCAGGACAGAGTATCGCTCAAAAGCTGACGGGATAGAGGCGTACCTAGCATCTCTCTCAATGCCTACAAAGTAGTGGCACCGACAATCATCAGCGATTAGAGAATAATCGTTTAGTACTTTGTCGCCTGCACCGCAAAGCGGGAGCTCCAAAGGGATCGACAGTTCGAAATTATCGTGACGAACCCGAACGTCCCAACCATGGACGGCTTGACAACATCGCGCTAGACTCAAGCGACTTCGAGCCAAGCATAGCATACCCCTACGGCAACCGGTTTCATGGCTGATTCGCTGTTTGTTCGGGCCATATATCGATTCTGGTATCGTTTAGTCGGTTCAAGGGCTCAGGTCTCCAGAAGGCCTTTCTTCTAGTAGTCTAATGTTTACTCCGTACTCCGTATAGTCTAGCTAACAATTTAGTGCAGGTACTGGTCAACCCCCCTTTTCTTTGCGCCTTCTTATCATCGCTGTCTTCTCTTCTTCACTTGAGTTACCACTCACTGCTACAGACTTTGATTGCCTCAAGGCGTTGTCGCTCGTTCTTTACATTCTATACACACCAGAGCTGTCACTCGTTTCCAGCTCCATTCGTTCTTTACTTCCTACAAGCGAAGGCAAAAAGGTCGAACATTGCAAAATTATCTCCCAAGCTTCTCGCTTATCCAAAATCGATATACCAGCGCCCAACATCGACCAGCTTACTCCCAAAGCTATTTCCTCTTCCAGTATCGCGTTTGAATTGCAGCCTGCGCATCTCAAACTTCAGTCTTATCTATCAATTCTACGATCAAGATGCATTTCACCAAAGCTCTCCTGTTTACCGCCGCGGCTGTCGCGCCCTTCGCGTCCGCTGCAGCGCAAGCTGAACCGACCACCACCACCATCACCGTCAAGCTGATGAGTGTTGGCGCTACTTCGACTCCTACACCGTCCCCCAGCAGCAGCAGCAGCAGCAGCAGCAGCAGCAGCAGCGTCGTCAGCGTGACTCCAAGCAGCAGCAGCCCCTCCATTCGACCCACCGGTGGCATCTATCTCCCCAGCTCCGGCCGCTGGAACTCAACCAGCTCTTCGATCGTCAAGGTGACAGTCCCTGCCACCGTCAGTGGCCCGTCGCAGACAAACGCTGCTGCCTCCGCGGCCTCGTCGGCACCATCCCAGGGCGGCGCCGCTTCCTCGATCAACTTCTCCGGCCCTCTGACTGCTGTTGCCATGGCTCTCGCGGGATTTGCCCTGTTTTAAAGGGTAAATTGGAGTCGACCAGCCCTCCAGCGCTTGAATAGCCACAATTGAAGCGATCTCCTTCATCTTTCGGATTGGGGGAGGCCGTCCATGATGGCGCATCAGTGTTCGGGGAATATGAGGAACTCGGACATAGATTTTCCTATCTGTCTTACTTCGCTGGACGGTCCTCGTCGCCCATCTTGTCATATATACATTCGCACTCTTCTTCTAGCCTGTATCTATTGAACTCGACTCCATCCGCCTCGCACGCATTGTTTAAGAGTTATGATCTGGGCGGGCTGATCTGTCATTCATCACTTCAACTTCACGTCCTCTAATTTATGTCGGTCTATACCCTTAATCTGTCTTTCAAGAAGCTGTGGCCTCTTGCCTCTTTGCCTCTAAATTTTTAGTGCTCTTCAATCCTATTCCACTGGATTTCTTCGTGATGGATAGATGGTACCCATGGTTCTACCACGTCACTTGTTCCTATAGTCCTTGAAGTACTAAAATACCCTATATGGTGCTCACCATGACATAGCAGGCTAAAGTGCTTACATGGGTATACACCCAACGCTATACTATAGAAGCCAAGTATGGGGGTTTCTCTCGTACTTACGCTTGCTGTAGTATACAGAAAGAACAATGAAGGTCGACCATAGGAAGGAGAGGAATGCATATTATTATGTTACAATGTACAAGAATATACATCAGCGCTGCAGACGTTTCGCAGCATCTTATGAGTCCCTGTAGGTAGCTTCGTACCTGTTCAAGTCGGACTGAAGTTAGCCATTGTTTC